TCAGATGAGGGAGTCCTGACTCCCAGCCCCTCCTCCCTCAGACCAGGAGTGGGCCCCCAGGAAATAGCTGCCTTGGAAGAGGACTGTGTGTGGTTGATGGTGTTGGAGACGATGCTGAAAACGGTGCGGATGGTGATGCTGGGCTTCTCTGGGCGGGAAGAAGGCAGTGTGAGCTCTCGGGGGAAGGGCCAGAACGTTGGGGGTCCACACAGGGAGGGCGAGGTGTGCTCACCGGTAACCTGGATTTGGGTCTGAGATGTGTCAGGGTGGAGGTTTCGTTGGAACCTGTAGGGGGCAATGTGGGGTGACTCTGGTGACCTCCACACCGGGGTCCTCGCCCTTCGGCCTCCCGCGGGCAGCAAGACCCCAAGCCTACTTCTTTTCTGCAGATTTCTTTCTAGGCTCAGCGTGCTCCTGCTGTGACCAGATGAGAGGCACAGAGTCGCCCACGGCCTGAGACTTGAATTTGCGCTTGAGGGTCTGGCGGTGGGAGGAGGGACGGCGGGCAGTCAGGAGGCGCGGGGCCCCCAGCCCGGCCCCTCCCCAGCCCGGCCTGCCCAACCTGCTCACCCTGGCCTTCCTCTGTTTCTGAAGTGTCAGCATCTTGTAAGGAAAGTTGGGCTCCACAGTCATGACTGCAGAGGAGGGGAGGACCTCCAGTCAGGGTCCCCGACAGGGAGGACGTGAGGCTCGGGCAGGGGAGGGGGGAGAGCTCAAGGGCTGGTAGGTGTGGCCACGCCTGGGGCAGGAGAGGCTGACAAGTAGGGAAGGGTCTGAGGACAAGGAGGCTGCTCACCCGAACGTCCGGACTGGGGCTGGTCCTGTGGACGGGGAGGGGGTCAGTCAGGACGGGTTCCTCCTCCTGGTTTCCACGTCCCCATTACCTACCCAGCTCAGGACTCCAGGACTCCAACCCGTCCCCATGCCAGGACCCAGGGGTCCTGCCCTCTGCTCCTGCAAACCCTGGAATCTAGGCCACCAGCCACCTCCTCCCTCAGATCCTGGAATGTGGGCCTCCTCCCTCAGACCCAGGAGTCCTGACCTCCAGCCCCTCCTCCCTCAGACCCAGGAGTCCTGACCCCCAGCCTCATTTCTTGGCATTCTGGATTTCAGCTGTTGGTCCCGGCTCTGAAATCCAAAACCACAGCTGCTCCCAGGGTCTGTGGGGGGCACTGCCCACCTGGAG